TTATTTTATTTATTTGTTTTAATTTGACCAGAGAGGGACATATTGAGAGAGAGACAGAGAGAGAGAAAGCAAGCTGCCAGGTCAGGGACTTGAACTGTAGTCGGTCATGTGGGAGTCCAGCGTCCTTAACAACCATGCTGCCAGCCAGCCCTGCATTTTCATTTTTTACCCCCTTTTTTTTTTAACAATTCTACAGTGACTGAAATTACAATTACTTAGCTATATGATAAAATATTATACTTAAGAACAGGGTCAGCAGTGTTAGGGCATTGCATCCCACATGTCCGACTCCATGGTTTGAGTGCTAGACTCAGTAGCTTGAAAAATCACACCTGACAAATGTGTATTAAATACCCAAAATTCAGGGTGGAAAATGGAGAAGAAGGGATTGCACCTTTGTGTGGGGTGATTTCTTACTGTTTCTCTGTCCCTCTCTGGTGAACACATGCACCCTACAGCAAAAACTAAGAAACAAAACAAAACTTAAGAATGGCTTATGTTGGATGTGAGGGCAATCTGGCTGCAACATCTGTCACCCCATTGATTGCCAGGGTTGATTCGGCTGATCTGGCTGGCTAGGTGGGTGTCCCCTTCCTCCCTCACCACTCCATGTGCATCCCTCCCGAAGCTGCGCACTTGGTCAAAGAGGACGACCATTCCCGATAGAGGAGGCCCGTGCTTTGGTCAAGGGTATAGGAGTAGCTGCACTCCCCTGCTAGAACCTCCAAACAAGCTCTCAAGAATGGCTTATGTTGGGAACCAGCAGTTAGTGTAATGGCTATGTCGCTGGACTCCCATGTAGTTGATTGCGGTTCACGTCCCGGACCTGGTGGCTGAAAACTCATGCCAGGAGCGTGTGAGTGCGTGCCCAGGATCCCAAGAGGAGAATGGAGGAGAAGGGATTGCGGCATGACCATCCCCCCGGGGGGTGATTTCTCGCTTTCTGTCTCTCTGTCTCTCTCTGTCTGTCTGGCGAGCACACGCGCCCTATAGCGAAAACCTCTCCAAAAAAAAAGAATGGCTTATGTTCAACAAACATTTTTTTTTTTTGGAGAGATTTTTGCTATAGGGTGTGTACAATTGCCAGAAAGACAGAGAGAGAGACAGAGAGATAGAAAGCAAGAAATCACCCCCCAGGGGGATGGCTACCCCGCAATCCCTTCTCCTCCATTCTCCTCTCAGGATCTTGGACATGTACACACACAAGCACCTGGCATGAATTTAAGCCACCAGGTCCGGGACTAGAACCGTGGTCGACTACATGGGAGTCCAGCGACAGAGACATAATGCCAACGCTGATCCCCCAACAAGCATTATTCCTATCAATTATATCAACCTCATATTTTACTAAAAACTACTGTAAGACACATTCATTCTCTGTCATTTTCAGCACCTAAAATATACTCATCTGAAGATTCACAGCAAATTGCTAATGCTGAAAGGGAATTTTAACCCCTGGAATGCTTATTCTTTTAGCAAGGTCATCTATTTTGACCTAAATATTTGTTGCTATAGTTTCAAATCTCAAGAACTGATACAGGTGAGGCAAGTTCTGTTCCAAGACTTGTAGCTGTAAAGCTGGAGTTCCCTTCAGAAACTCCACAGATGCTGTGCACACAGCGTGCAATGAGCAGAGCTGTCCCCAAACGCCCTCCAGAGCTCGCTCCTGGACAAGCCAGCAGGAGGACCAGGTCCAAGGTGAGCTCCTGACAGGATCATGGGCTCCCTCCTCAAGGGTGGTACAATGTTCCACGGGCCCAGGGCGCTCAGGTGCTGGGCAGCGGGCTTTTTCATACGACTGAATCCAAATCAGACTGGCACTGAGGCCTGCTGGCCACCCCTGTCCCACCACTCCAGGACTGCTCTCCCATGCTGGGCTCTGAGGGAGGCTCTTAGGTGGATGAGAGTCCTTCCTGTGAACACAGACTCTGAGTCTGCCTCTCTATGAGACAGAGGCAGATGGGAGACCTCTTCCTTCTCCTGCTAACCCTGCTCTGCTACATTCTCTCTCCCTGGTAAGACCTATTCTTTAACCCGACCTGTCTGACACTGTGCAGTTTGTTCTTTTTTAAAATATTATCTTATTACTTAACTTTAGTTATTTAATTTATTTTAATTTGGCCAGAGAGGGACAAAGTGAGAGAGAGAGAGAGAGAGAGAAAGAGAGAGAGAGAGAGAGAAAGCAAACCACCAGGTCCGGGGCACAAACTGAGATTGCCCATGTGGGAGTCCAGCGCCCTTAACTACCAAACCACCTGCTGGCCCCAACTGGGTAGTTTGTTCTGAGCTTTGTTACAGGGTGGACAGTGATCCCAAGAGCACCATCTTATAAGATACATATTCTTCCTGATGAAAGATACAGGGCATATGAACGTGCTGGGATAGGAAGGCAGCACTGGGGCCGTCTGAGTCTGAACAAGGACTGAGACAAGTTCATCTTCACTGTTTGGGAAGAAATAGATTCCTTGGACCTGGAGAGGTTTCTGTCCCTCAAGCTGTGGCCATAAAGGTGAGATAAGACTTTTTTGTCTCCACCTCTTTTTCTTTCCTCTGTATTTCTACTGCCAGAGGGCAACTTCTATTGAATAATATGTTAACACATAGGTGTTCTACTTATTTTCAATCAAAAAGGAGGCAAGACAAATGCTTCAAGAGAGAGTAACCAAGTGGCTAGAGAAGAAAACAAACAGAAAAACCACAGGGCTTGGTGCCAGCAGGTGGTACAATGGTTAAGACGCTGGACTGCCACAGAGCCAACCACAGTTAGAGTCCCAGACCGGGCGACTTTTCTTCTCACTTTCCCTTTCTCTCTCTGTCTCTCTCCAATCACATTTAAAAAAAATTATTATATTAGTAAATTAAATTAAATAATTCTTTAAAAAAAATTACATGGCCAGCCGCACAGTGCAGTGAGAGCTAGACACTGCACAGCTGACCTCTGTTCAAAGGCCCCAGTAGCTTGAAAAAAGTGACAGGCACATGTGCACATGCCCCAAATCATGATAGGATGGAGAAATGCAGAAAAAAGGATTGTGGTACGACCACACCCTGGTGCTCCTACTCCTACCCCTGCCCCTGCCCCTGGAAAGCGCATGTATCTGCTGGTGATTAAAGAAAAAAATATTTTTTAAACACAAAAAGATGTTCAACCTCATTAGTCATCAGAGAAATATAAATTAAAACCATAATGTGCTACTATTATAAACTCCAGAATAGCTAAAATGCTGCAGAGGATGGGCCAGCAGGTGGCGTGGTGGTTAAGGATGCTAGACTCCCACATGCCTGACCACGGTTCGAGTCCTGGACCTGGTGGCTTGCTTTCACACTTTCCAGCTCTCTCTCACTCTGTGCCTCTCTGGTAAAATTAAAATAAATGAATAAAGTTAAATAAAATAATTCTTTGAAAAATAGAAATAATAAAAAATGTTGCAAAGGATTAGAGACATAGTAATTGTTATGTTGGGCTGGCCTTAGCCCAGTAGTTA